TTCGATCTTTTGGGCGCAGACACCGCGTGGGAAATTGCTTCGTTCTTTTGAATCTTTCCTTTGAGTCTTTTTCGAATTTTGCCGAGCCCCCCCCGATGGCTCTCGGAGTTTTGGACTTTCCTTCTGGAATTCGTGCTTTTTGCTTTTTCGCATTAGATAGGAATTTAGGAATTCCGTAATTAGGATTTTTTCTGCCGCACGGCGCCTTTTGTTTACGCGCTTCTTCATGCGGCTGCAACGGTACTCTGATTAGTGGGCGCCCTTAATCGTATGTGTAACTGTTATTTTGGGCGGGCGCCATTGTAACTGTATCTCTCTTCTTGCACTTCGTCTCTCATGCCCCTCCCTTTCTTTTTTTTGCTGGAATTTTGTAAGCCGCGGCCTGCATGCTCGGATCGATGCGTGGAGAAGGGTTACGTCCCCCACGCCGCAGCCGATCATACAGAACGCAGGCGTTCCCTCTCTAATCCTCACTCTAAGTCCTGGTGATTCCGTGTTCTTCGCGCATGCATGCACGCTATAAATTTCGGCTGCGCGATTAGTCAACTCTCTTAACTTGTTGTTGGAAGCTCGGGGTTGCGCGATCAGGAAGGGTCAACACACGAGCGAAGTAAGAGGTGAGTAGAGTAGGAGTTGGGTGACCCGACGGGCTGGTGCCGAACGCGTGGGATTGACGTGGGCCACGACGGACTGTGGGCACGGGCGAATCCGACGGGTGCGGGAGGACTAAGCGGGGTGACAACTTCGTGGGTTGGTGCGTGACGACGGACTGCCCGCATCGGAGAGAGAGAGAGAAGGAGGAGAGAGTTGAGGTCGATGGACGTGGATTTGCTGTTTCTTTGTCTCTTCCCCCTCTTCATCTGTGTATATACATTTTGATTGCGGCTTCAGACAGTTTGCCCGTTCTAATTTTCGTTTAGGCTTTCTGAAATTCGGACTTGGGTTTTTGCTCACACTTGTCTTTGCTTTGTCCGTTCCGATTGCATTATGTGTATGATTGTCGAGTGTATGAATGTGTGGACGCTGTGCCTGCTTGTCTGTCCTTTTGCGGAGAATCCCTGTCCTTGCCTTTTGTTTATATCAAACCTTTGCCCACACCTGATGTAGCTGTAGATGGGATAAGAATCTGGCCCCGATAGCGATTTTGTTCTCATTTTTGCTTATCTCCCGATGAGGGCTGTGATATGGTTGCATCTTGCATAATCTGAAGCAATTAAACGATCAAGAGATATGACTCCGCGAACGACGCGCGAGAACATGTGTAAATGCGATCCGAGTCGCGCCCTTACACGCATTCCCGAACGTCGATTCGCCCACCCAAAAAGATTTGAGGCGGAACCGTCATCCTGTACGAACACGCTGAGGCGTCGCTGAGTCGGCCTGTCCTGCACGTGTTCGTGCGTGGTGACGATATCCCGACCCAAGCTATCCCATCGGCAATGACACCATGACGCGATCTTGGAACTCAGACTCGTCCTATGACCCGGATTACTTCACCCCTATAATAAACGAGCTCATAAGGACCCGATATCCTTGTCACACGGAAAATCGGCTATGTCCGCGGGAATTCCACTGTGCCACCTCTAGCGACCCTCGGTGCTCCGATTTCCCTTCTCCCGATCACACCTACTACTTCATCCATCCCGGATTTGTTGAGATCACCACCAGTTTCCCTCCCTTCCGCCTTCTCCTCCCATATCATCAACTCAGCGTCGTTCCGTGGCCGGCCATAGCCCTCTATTGGCCCAATACATTTTGCGTAAATTGCCGACGTAGCGGCGAGCAGAGAACTCAGGAATTCCGAAGGCCCAACCAAGGTCAGCGGCGACCTGCGTCACGTGGCGGACCCGGACGGCCTAACTTTTCGGGACCACCTCCACCACGGGGGGATTTCCCCATAACTCGTCGCCCACAATGCCCCGGCCCCTTTTGACTAGAGTCCCTTGCACACGCACCCCTTTTTCGCCTAATCACAACCATACCCTTAACACTCCCCCACTTTTCCCAAAAATCCTTGGCACACCCCTTTTTCGCACTTCCAGGCCCACAATCCACTCCGATCAGGAAGTCGCGCTGGGCGTGAGGTTGGGCGTCACACTCCACTGCCACACAAATTTTCGGCACTTCCCAAGGTTTCTGTTACCCGATAAGGAAGACTTGCCTTCTCGGGCAAGTTTGCCTCCGCTTTTTCAGCACACCAACCAATCCCCGTGCCTCCTTTCCGCACGGAATGGCTGGTATGCTGGCGGACTCTAGACGTTGGCCAGCGTACCAGCCATCCCGTGCGGAAAGGAGGCATGGGGATTGGTTGGTGTGATACAAAAGCGGAGGTAGGCAGAGTGGAAACAAAAGTGCTTGCGTTTGCCGCCAGCAGTGGGGTCTCAAAATATTTCCTCCAAAGCCTGGCGGGCGGCTACCGCCAGCCAGTGGGGTCCGAGCCTAAGGCCCACCCCAGCTCCGACCATCATTGTCCTGGCAGCAGGCCCCGGTTAGCCATAGATTGCCTCGACGAATCCCCAGATCTCTCTACTGGGGGGTAACCGGGCCTCACGCTCCTATCTAAACTGGTTACAGGGCAATGCCCCAGCACCGCCCACGGCGGCCAGCGTCTTTCTGGCATCCGCTAAACTAGACCACTAAACATCGCAGGTTCATCCGGCTTCGGATGAGCCTTTACCGCCACTGAAATCCTGGATCCGGTATCCGTAGAGGCTCAAAGATATCCATGATGGCTGATGATTACTGATGGTTACTGATGATTGATTTTTGCTCCGCTCTTGAGGATTTCTTTATTTGCAATAGGAAATCTGAGTGGATTTCGCTTGAACCACCAGTATACGGCATTTCGCCGCCTACTCCAAAAATATTGTGCTTTGGGCCTACCGGACCACAATGGCCGGGTTTTTCTGTTTGTTTGTTTCTGTTTTTTTTTTCCCATTTACTACATGGAGCTGGCAGAAGAGGTTTTTCGGAGAATGTGCAAGATGGAGAGAGTATCTTCCTCCAGAAGGTGCAACGCACTCTCCATCTACCAGACTACATGACAAAAATCTAGGAGGAAGGATTATTGTAGAAAGCGGGGAGCTCACCCTGGTATGAGGGTCTTTTTTTTATCTGCTAAAGCTGAAGCTGGGTAATGGTACTGGTGTGATACTGTTTTTTCATGTGTACTTGGGCCTCGTTAGACACTCCTATTGAAATCCTCAGGCAAAAGGAAAATTCCTTTTGGTTCAAAGGGAGATTTGGGCCCTTCGTTCCACCTGTCCTCGGGGACGTCGCCCGAGGACATTTCCTTCGAGCGATGTCAGAAAAAAAAAAAAAAAAATAAAAAAATCGAATGTGCTTGAGGCCTTCAGCCAATAGGGTGCCGCCACGATCCAGCTTCTCGGTTGTAATGTCTCTCTACCCATGTGCCCGCTCCTCTCTGTGAAACGCGGATTCCTTTTGCCCAAGGGACCTCGTGAGGTCCCTTGGGCAAAAGGAAGAAATGGCTGGGGAATCCTCGGAGCCCAAGGAATTTATTTATTTATTTATTTATTTATTTATTTATTTATTTTTTTGTTGCGTGTCATCCTTGCGCAGGGGCCATGCTAATCTTCTCTATATCGTTCCAATTTTAACGGATGTCCCGAAGGACAGCCCAAGGAGTTTCCTTCTGAGTGTTTTCACCTTTTTTTTCTCCGACTGGAACTCGGGGACTTGACGCGCCCAAGGAGTGTCTAACGAGCCCCTTTTGCATTGGGCACTGGGACCATGATAAAATACGGAAGCCAGTTCAGGGAGAACGCACAAAAAGAGAGGTGGGGGCGCGGGGAAGGGGTGAGAAATAAACGAAAGAGATAAGAGAAAGAAAACTGAAAAACAGCTGTCATGTAGATGGCAGGTGCATCGCAGCTTCGGGAAGAAAACACTCTCTCCATTTTGCACATTCCCCCAAGAACCTCCCCTGCGAGCTCACTAAGGAGCAGATCCCACTGGCAAAGAGGATGCGAAAAAGCGTCTGAATCTGGACGTGTTTGTGTAGATGTGCAAAACATTGTGACTGATCTGCTTCTCTGCATCTCTGTGTGGAACACGTCCAGATTCAGCCACTTTTTCCAATCCTCTTTGCCCGTGGGATCTGGCCCTAAGGTGGAACAGCTTTCGCTTTTCTGACGTGACGCGTGCCAGCTAGGTTTTCTGCCCCCTTACACAACATCATTATTCGGCCTAGTTACGTGATGGTGGGTCTGTGGTCTAGTACTGTGATGACCTCCTGATTGCCTGCATGGGCGATTTGAGCCATGCTAGGGGTATTCCTCCACCCCCCCCCAAAAAGAAAAAAAGGATTTTTCACACACACACACACACACACACGCTCACACACACACAGACACACAAATTCACACACACATTTTTTTCTTTTCTTTTTTTTGCCCGTTTTGCCTGGGGCATTGGCCCACAGCCTCCCCCAAGCACCGCCACTCCCCACACTGCCCACAGCCCCCCCAAGCACACACACACACACACACAAATTCACACACACATTTTTTTCTTTTCTTTTTTTTGCCCGTTTTGCCTGGGGCATTGGCCCACAGCCTCCCCCAAGCACTGCCGCTCCCCACACTGCCCACAGCCCCCCCAAGCACCGCTGGCGCTCCCCAGCGCCCCCGACTGGCCTCCCGGGCGTGGGTGGTGCTCTGCGCGTTCGCGTTCAGAGCGTTCACCCGCGTTCTGTGAACGCGCGTTCAACGCGTTCAAAAAATGAACGCGGATCCCGCGTTCAACGAACGCGCGGTAACATAGTCCATGCCCATTTACCCCAGAGATCTATCCCATGATCTAAGATTTCAATGGGGAGGTCCCGGTGCAACAGAATCCCCACCCCGCCTCTGGTGTCGACTGCGGGGGACCAGACCTGTGGTCCGTCCCACCAGTTACCTAAGTCCACGATTTTCTTCTCATCTAATTTCGTTTCCTGAATACAGGCTATCTGTACGTGCTTATCGTGGATCCAAGATTTCAGCCTGGCTCTTTTACTTTTCTTCGTGGTATCTCCTAAGCCCCTAAGGTTCCAAGAGACTATATTTAACTTATCCATTCATCCGGGGCCCTGGGCCCCTGGATTGAATGGGGATGCCGTTCGCATGTGCTTGCCTGGCTCCAGAGCGAGCTGGGGGACCAGCGGAGGAGGATGGGGCCCATTTTTGGGCCAGAGTGTTATTGAGGTACAGCGATTGCAACTGCTTATTCCGTGGGAGCTTCTCGTTGAGTTTGCTGAGGAAACCTGCGTCTGAAACGTGAAGCACCTGCATCTGCTGTAGAGAGTCCATGTCCTCCTCAATGAAGATGGAGAGAGGAATCATCCTTAGTCCTTCCAAGAGGAGGGGTTCCAGCTTGTCTGTGGAGATGAATGCATCTAGCAACAGAGTGAAAATCTTGCATGTGCGATTTGTCTGTTCCTGGTAGAACCGGGGGAGAGCCATATCAGGCACCATTCTGAGTGGGAATTTGTCCTTGAAGATATTCTTGGCCGCTGTAAGGATTGTCTGAGGAGTAACAGGCTCCTCGGTTTTCTGCGACAAAAAAGTTGTTTTCGAGTTCTCAGGTTGCCAGGCGATCACGTGAATTGCACCATTCACTATCGAGCAGATTAGCAGAACCAACCATTTCTCCAATGATGCTGTCTGTGCCTTAGTTGCCGTTATCGCCCTTCTACTCCTCGACGTTTTCACCCCCGTTTGTGGTGTGACTAATCTCGATCCGGAATGAACGGAGTGTGCGGAGCGCTCGGAGTGTGCAGAGGAGGAGGATTCGGCCTTACTCGACATTGATCTTTGTGATCTCTCGGCGGTTGGACACTCTGCTCGTGGGGCTGCTTCGAGGAGCAGTTGCTGAGAGGTTGAAGACCTGACTGTTCTAGGTGCCTTTAGTGGGGACTGTCCTCTGGTGCTCCTTCCATGTACTTCCACCGCTGAGGTGGCAGCGGCCTCGTGCATGGGTGGCCTCGGCTGTGACTCCTGAACCCAAGTTGTCTCGATTCCTTCCTCATTGCCTGAGCCTGGTCTTGCTCTTGTGGGATTTGGACGTATCAGACCACCGATCTGAGGGTGTGACCGGTCTTGCTCTGTGTCTGGTGGGGCTGGTTCGCTCCCTCCGAGCGGGGCTGCCGCTTTCAGTAAAAACACCATTGCCGATTCCAGGTAAGGGTTGGGAGGCGGAGGGATGAATTCCCTCTGCGTCCTTGGTTGGTGTTCCATTCCAGATCTTCGGTAATCCTCATAAGGGTCATGTTCTTGTAACGGTCCCGGAGAGAAGACCAGATTGACGATTGAATTCAGGCCAGCTGTGGGTCCTGCTGCAGGCAGCGGTCTAGGGGAAGGGGGTGGCGGGGATGGGGTCCTGGATCTCATGACTGTGTTTCTTGAGTTCTGGTGAGACAGGGGCCCCTTGTATTTTGTCCCTCCTCGTCTTCTGTGGTTCAATGAGCCAGCATCAGAGCGTGAGCTGGAAGAGACTGACGTGCTGTCCTCATCTGACTCATATGCTTTCGCCCTGCGATTTGGTCTGAACCGACTTCGTCTACCATTCGGGTTATCCCTATTCCTCGTGCATTGCTCATCTGTGTGAAAGTACCATTTGCAGTTGGTGCAGTAGGGGGTGTCGGCGGATGCCAACTTCACTTCCACCATGTCTCCCTGTATTGTGCATACCCACAGGCGGTCTTTGAATCTGGAACGAAATTCCGGTTCAATCTCGCATTTCACATTCAGTAATTTTGGGTTGGAGTTAACCTGGTCTGGAGACTCCATCTTGGTGACCGGCCCGATTACTTTTGTGATGGACGCCCGAAGGTAGCAATAGGCATCCAGCGGCACTTGGATGGCGAGAACCCAGAAGGTGTTCTCCATCTCTAATCGGCGGAATTCCTTCCACTCTGCCCTGGGCATCCAGGGTTTCGTTTCGAAGACGTACCGCTTGCCTTTCAACTTGACTTCCGCTGAACCTTCACTTATCATCCAATCTGCGACCACTTTGTCCCTTGAGACATAAGAGATAACATTTGCGGCTTCGAACTTAACTCTACCCCTGCCCACTGGAGGGTCGAAGATAACATCTTTCTTCCATCCATTCTCATAAGCTCTTACGATATCCTCCTTCACCCTTCTTGGGAGCTCCCTGGCTTCATCCCTGAAAATTACCACTACCGTCCTTTCCTTCAGCCACTGAATCTTAATCTCATCGAACCTTTTGTCTACCGTAACCACTGCCTCATTACCATCTATTACGACGTCCTCGAATGGAACATCTTCAGGGCAAATACCCTCATCGTAACACATAGAGAGTAGCATTCGAACTATGTCCTAGTACCCTTCATCTGAAGCTTCCCTATCCTCGCGGATTTCCTCTCCTCCGTCTGCCATTTCCAGCTCAAGGATCCCCTGGGCCGCCATCTGGCTTCGGGGGTGGAGGGGGGTGTGAGGGTGGTACTCCTGTTGGGTTAAGCAGGGCAGTACAAACGACGAGAGTGAGGCGTGACCCTTAGTCGAGGAGTGTGTTACTTCCTGTTCAGCCCCGTAGCCTTGTGCACAGTTTATGCTAGGTCCGCGGGAGATGCTATGTCAGCACTCTTGGGAAACTCTCCGGAGGTTACGACGCCGACCCCGTCATCGCTTCGTCGAAGCTGATGGGGAGGGGGGGTTCCAAAAGGGGGCGGGTAATGAGCAGTATCCGATGCAAAAAAGATGATGGCAGGTGAGGACGGGCTCAGATAATTTACCGAATCTTTAAGCGCCCACCAAAGCCATAGCTCGATGGAGCCGGCGGGTGGGGCCGTGTTCGGGCGGCAGTCCTGATGTAGACTTGCAGTGTCCTAGCTACCCTCGGTTCGCGTATACAACCTCATACTTCTCATCCTAATACCCTTTCGGTCCCTTTTTGCGCGGAAACACTCGGGAACGGAGGCACGGGCTCTAAGGATTGGTCTGAGAGTAACCACGGCTTTCTCTGTTTACCCTAACTCCTATCTCTGTGTACTTAGTATCGCTTCGAATGCGAGTGACTCGTTCAGTACCGGATCCGGGTTACGCGAAGCGGATGAACGGTTCCTACCATCTGCCGTACATGGAAACCGAAACGGATCTCAAACATCGTGACCTCTACATCTAAACATCTGCCTCATATGTGACGGGGCGAGGCAACATCAAGAGTTCAACCTAACGGCAAGCAGGAAGACCAGGGAAGCGGGAGTTATCACCGGAAGAATACCTTTCCTTGTGACCTTGGATCTCGCTTCTTTGCTGATGTTGAGTGGTAACTGACAAAGTTACTTCTGTCCGCCGTGCACCCACTTCGAACTGATACCACGCCTGGAGTTGCTGATGTAAGTCTGGAGGCGGGGCAGGGAAAAACCTCCGTCTTGGTGAAGGGGAAAACCAGCGTGAAGAAATCACGCCACCATAGCCGAGACCATGGTTATCCGACTTCACCGCAGTAACTTGCGCTATGGCAGCACTAGAACCGCTCGACGGGCCATCTGGTACCGCTAGGGCAGTCCAGGCGGCGGCGCAAAACCAAGAGCGCTCTACCGGCGCCGTTGGCGGCGCTCCTGCCAACCCTCCCGACGGGGCCTAAATGAGAATCTGGAAGAAGCCCTCATTCCAATCCCCTGAATTGTATCTTGTACTTGAAGTAGTCCAGGGACACAATTGGTACTATGCTGTGAACTGCAGTGTGGCCCTTCTTTTTGTCGTTTTCGGTTTCTTTTTTTTTTTTTTTTTTTTTTTTTTTTTCAAAACAAATTCAATTTATTACCAAATCAGTCGTTTGAAATGAGGCCGGGGACCTCACAATTCAACCCGGAGTTATCCCGGCAGCGTCAGCCGGTTTAGCTTATGTGGCTTCAATTCTCAATCATGCTTCAGAGCTTACAACTAGTCCCTGCCCGAGGTCCTTCTGTCACTCTACCTCTTGTATTCAAACCAAAACACTTTTGACTTCATCTCCACTTCGTCTCCATATTACCGACTAAACTCATTATCCAAAAAAGGCAGAAACTTTATTTTTACCCTATTCCCCCTAACCCCTATTACTATTCTACACGAACTACCCTATGGACAGGCCTATCATGGCCTGACACCGGCCTGCATCGGCCGGTTGGAACTTTAAGTTCCACAGTACCCCATGGCTCACCACCCACCCTCCCCTAAATTAGCCTCCTGAGGCTCAAGCTGCGAGCCGAGTGCCCAGGTTCGTAAAAGAAAGCCTCAAGCCCGAAAAACCCAACAAACCTGAAAAACTCTAACCCCTACTGTAATTCTCCCCTTACCGTCCCCTCCCTACTTTCCTAACCATGCTGACACTTCAAGTTTACGGAAAACGGGCGGCTTATAATGCATTTCCTGATTAAAAAAAAAAAAAAAAAAAAGAGGCGTGTTCTCGTCATTCAAAGATGGTCGGCTGCAAAGGATTGCCAATTGCACTAGACCTGCCACAAAAAGAGCTGGCCCCGGTACTTGCAGAATCTGATATACCGCATTTTTTCGAAGTTTCCCAGCGGAAATGTTGTTGGGGTCCCGAAGAAAGATAATGTATTTTTGCAGCGAGAGTGGGACCGCGCACGCGCATATTTTTGCTCTGAAATACTGGGACCGGTAAAGCTGCAACGGAAAATGTGTTTTTTCAATGCAACTTGGCACCCTCCATTATTTTTGCTGTGAAACTACCGCGAACGCACTGTTTTTAAAACTTACCCAAAAAAGTTGGCTATCAGGCCACCGTTGTCAGATTAGACACAAGATTGAATTTACCTGGGCTGTTTAGTCGATGATAATACCTCAAGGCCATTGCCCTTCAAAAAAAAAAAAAAAAAAAAAGGAAAGAAACTTACCCAAAAAAGTTGGTAGATTTTAATAATCATTTTATGGCAAATACGCTTGTAATCTCTGAGGCTCCTTCCTCTTTGAGTCAGTCATCACTGTGAACTATGGCGAGCCTTTTTTTGGGGGGGATAGGAATCATAGTATTGCATTTCCTCCTGTTCTTGCCAACACCTCAGTTTGTCAATTTTGCGTTATGTGCTCCGCAGTTTATACAAACCCAACAATTTTTTTCCCTCTTCTTGTTTGTTGTTTTTGTCTCTGGGTTGAACCAGATAGCAGTTATGAATGGGGAGACAGTAGTACTGCTTCAACTCCTGTTTTGTTTGTTTGGAGTTTTTTTGGGACAGTTTGGGTTCCTCCTTTGTGGCCGAGGGTTTCACGTAGGCCATAGTGCCCACTAGTGATCCTCTCTTTGGAAAATGCTTTGCTGTTGCTGGTTCCATTTTCTATCTCTGCTCCCGCAATAGGGCGATATGTTTACTCATTGTTTACCGGTTTATACAAGATTGTCTGGCCATGAAGGTATAGAGTCCTTCTCTCTCTCTCTCTCTCTCTCTCTCTCTCTCTCTCTCTCTCTCTCTCTCTCTCTCTCTCTCTCTCTCTCTCTCT